ATAAAAATTCAATTTCAAGTAGATATTCGGAATCTACTCATTGAGCTCTATCGAATGATGTATGTTTCGAAAAAATTCAAGAATGCGTGAACGTTTCGAATTTCCCGCACCTTAAGTTTTCATGAAATTTGTTTTTCTTATTATATATTTGAATGATTTGTTTTTGTTTAGGGTGTATGTTGTGATGATGGTCGACATTGTTGTCCAAAAGGCACGCAATGTCATTATAAGTCTTCAACATGTATTATATCTTAGTTACATTTTTTTTTCTCAAATAAAATTCTTCTTGCTTTAACATCAAATATTATTGTTAGAATTGATTTTGATTAGAAAAAAATGAAAACAACAGAATGAGATTGAGGAATTATGATGACTCTTATAAATGATGATTCATTGAAATAAATATTTCTTATATAGTTCTTTTTATTTAATAAATAAAATTCTTTTTTGTTAAAATGTCATTAATAAATAAATGTTGGATAATTGTTTGTATAAGTTATACACATCAATAGCATCGTCAATTAACAGATAGGTTAAAATCAACTCATAATGGTGATATTCTTATACATGCTGGAGATATAACGAATTATGGTCGAGGTTCAAAACCATTTGATGATTTTGCTCAATGGTTAAGTGAACTTTCATTTAAACATAAATTAATTATTGCTGGAAATCATGATTCAATTTTAAATCGATTTTTAAATCATCTACAATTCTTACAAGATGAACAGATGATTATTGATGATTATCTTCGTATATATGGTTGATCATAGCGTTCTATAGGTGAATCAACATGGTCGGATATTCCTTCAAATTCACATATTGATGTAGAATCTAATTTAGAATTAAGAATAGATCAAATAAGATCTTTGATTTCGATATTTGGTCATATTCATGCAGATTATGGAGTTTGGAAATAATCAAATGGAGTTATATTTGCTAATGCAGCATCCTTTCCTTGTTCTCAATCTCAAATATTAAATAATTCTTTTTTTTCATATTCAATATTTTAAACATGAAACATTTTAAATAGTCGACAATTTTATTCACAGTAAATTTTGTTATTAATTAAAAGAAAAAGTAAGAGTGATTGGAATCCATCAATATTTTTAGAGAAAGACCAGTGTCATGAAGATAATAAAAAATATCTTTAGAAATTTGATTAAGCTTAAATAAGTAATTAATTTTATTCTTTTCTTATTGATAATCAGTAAACAACAACCAAAAATGATTTAAAAGAGTTGTTTATTGATCAGTAGAACTTCTAATCATACTTAAATGAAAGCATTTTTAATGGTTAGAGAGATTGTTCGAACTTACAATTATCTAAATATAATAGGATTTTTTTGTCTCAAGTCGAGACTCTAGAAGGAAAAACTAAGCAGTTGACAGTAAAGAGAAATACTCATTATGTTAACTCTGTATGTTGCTTCTACTAATTCATCGAATGAAGTAAAATCTAATTCGTCCATCCTGTTCTTCGTAAGACATGGAATGAGAGAGTTTTCTTTAATAATTTCGTCCAATACCTTCAGACTTAAAAATCTACAACAAAGGTTTCTAGTTTAGGCTGTCGAACAAGCTACTTATCGATAAAAATTGTTTAATGTTTTCTTTCAATTTTTGAATCACTTTTTATAGCTGCTCACAGAAAATTTCTATAAGTTACTTCAAATTCAAACATTCAAGTACGGAACAAACCTTGACCGTTAGAATTGAAATTGATCGCATTTGATTTAAAACAAGCTGTATAGTATTCCTGGCGAAAATCTGTTTTTTTTCATTGATAATAGGAAGCATTGCTGATCGATCATTTTCACTCTAATTTACATGGAAACTCATCAAAAATAGCCGTAATCGGGATGAGATTTATCTCACCAAATTTTGATATAAATCATCAACAGTAATTAGTCGGTGCAGTCGTTCGAACGATGTATCATGTTCAATGAACGATTCAATGAAACGTATATAATTTCCTTGTATTGCAAACAATAATGGCTTATCCAGTTCTAACTATGGTCATTCCAAAATATTTCGATTTATCGATAATACATATTATTTTATTCGTTCATATTTTTTACATGAAGTAGCCAATATGAGATTGCTCACCTTTTTTTTCTCATGTATTATTGACTATTTGGGCAGCTATTATATGGAACATGGAAATGAACTGTAAAATAAAATACTTGATAATATTAACTTATCATCATGATGTGCACTAACTATGGCATCATCAAGTTTCCACTCTGAGTCATTTTCAGATAATTTAAATGAATTCAATAAGAAATAGCCTTCTCTCGATTTCATCATTTCAATGAATTGTCTTGCAATTCTATAAAGGTTTCGCAAGATAATTAATATAAGCAGATTCAAATTCATGTTCTTACAATTAGAACAAATTTTCAGCATTTTTCTGTTGTTTTTGTTAATACTTTGTTTAAAAATGTTCTACAAACTAAGTAATCATTTTGTAGGTCACTTTTAATCAACGTTTCTCTACTATATGTCTGACGAATGAATGCAAACATAAGATCTTAGTCGAACAGAATTATATTTGTGAAGTCGCATAGCGTTTATTTGCTAATATCGTATTTCTAATATTGAGAGAAAAGACTTTCAGCCAAAACTCTTTGGGATTGAAATATGATGGAGTTAACGCATTTGTACATGAAAACTAGACTTATTGATTATTATCGCTGAAAAGATACAAGACTCCGTGCGTTAAAATGTTTGCCATAGTTTATAGCAATGGTCACGATAACAGGTTTGAGAGAGGAAATCAATGATTTTTTTTTGACTCCCAAATTTCAAATGAATTCATAATTGAGAGATCTACATAAGACCTAAAATAATGAGATAAATTACAAAAGTTTGAAAACGATTGAAACTAGCACAGCGACATGTCTATCATAGTTTGTATGTATAGAGGGTCATTCACTTTGTTTGGCTATATTATTCCATATTGATTAACAATCGCATTTCAAAAAGAAACTTTGTATCCTACAGAGATAATGCAAAACAAGTGAATAAATTTTAAAAAGAAAGATAATTATTACAGAATACATTTGATTGTATGGTAAATAACTTCAGATTGCAAAACGACAAGCGATTTGCCATTTACATTATTCAACAGGAAATAAAGTCACGGAAGTTTCAACTAATTCTCATTAGATTTTGAGATCAAAAATAAATATCATAAATTTTTTAAAAACTAGTTTTAACACAAAGATTTTGAAATGTAAAGCTCAAAGGTCTTGGTGTATCTTGTTAGTTTAGTATAGCAATAAAATGCTTCTCAGCAAATAAAAGTATCTGATAAGAATTCAGAATTTTTTTTCTAAAGAATCTTGTTTTAGATAGAGATGAAAAAGACTAGTTTACAACGGACGGTAACCCTTAGAAGAGTGACATGCGTTTTTATAAGGAAGGCAATAACACTGTTGAGTATGGGTGTGGCTGCGGATGTAGTTGAACACACGAAGCACATTCACACCCTATACATACGTATGCAAAAACAAAGAAAATGAATGCATATTGTGTTAGAGTATTCTAAAACAGGCATTAGCCTAGATTATAAATTATCTTGTCGAGACCT